TTTTACATGACTTCTAAAGATAACTGGCGCATGCCTTCTTTCAAATTTCTCTTAAATTATTGACTATTAAATCTACTGTAGTTGTGTAAAATAAGTTATTTACTTCAAACACAAATCCACTTAAGTTACAGCTTGTAATTGAACATGGAATTAAAGATTGTATAATTTCTTTTTTACTAATAATTTATAGAAAGTAATGAAACACACATTTAGTCAGTTTTTAAGATGTTTATTTTTTGTTAAAGTCCTCACATCTTTTTGTGCTAACGTCAAGGTGAGGGTGTGTTTTGTAGAATCAAGCAGGGTTAGAAAGACGCCAGTTAAGTATATTTTAAAAAAAGCAGGAAAGCTTTTTTACTGAACAAGTTAACATTTATCACTCCTGGTTGAACAGATGCTACTTTTTTTTATACAAGTTTAAAGTTTCGGCACAACTATCTGCAGTTATTCAATAWATTTACTGGACTGCTGCTGTAAATATTACAACCCACTCATTTGTCTTGTAAGTCTGACAGAAATCTATTGTTGGTCGATCTGTGAAATATCACCTGTTGTCTGATGTAGGACCTGACTGATGTTGAAGTTTGATCAGATTAATGTCCTTTTCTCTGTTCTCCTGCGTCCTCAGGCCTGAGCAGTTTGATCAATGTATCGATGAGAAGATGCTAATAACAGATGCAAATAGGAACAGTATGACTAATAGACAGAGGTTTGCATTGATCTGCAGAGTTAGCRTCTGATGCTAAAACTGCTGATTCAACGGCATAGTTGGACTAAAAAGTGCCACCCTTGCTCAGTGTGTATAGGAGGMTTCTGGGAAGTGATAAATTAGGGACGTTTTTATTTAAGGCCAATAGGTTGAAACTCAAAGCTATATGAAAGTGCTGTTTTAAGAAAATAAACTTTGGAGTCTCTGCAAAATGAGCTTACAAGGTAATACAATAAATAACTCATTTTCTGTATTTTTCACAAGACTTTTTATATGGTCTTTCTTGGTTTGAGCCTTCTTATTCAATATCTTAATGTATTTTGTAATAAAATTATTTTTTAAATCAAAGTTTCAATATGCCTTTGCAAAATTTTGAAGACTCGTTGCTACACTGTCATACACCCTTTTGAAAAATCAACAGCTAAAGACAGTTTATTTTATTTTTTTACAGATATTAGAAACAATTTCACTTCTTAAGTGCTGAGCTYAGTGATCGGTGTTTCCATCCTGTAATCTTGAAGCGGAGTTCCCTAACWAAACCTTCCTGAAGGGAGCAGCCAAAAAAGAAAACAACAAATAATATATTTGCTTTTTTTCTCAGTAGGAACTCCTGCTCCTGTTAAATTCAGGAATCTCACCTCCATTTATGCCACCATGTGCTGCCAAGTTGTGATGAAAAATATTCCACTCCGGTGGTTCTTGTGTTTCTCTTTGAGCGAAAACAAAAGCGACAACACTACAGTTTGACAACATAAAGTGAATTTTATTGATTGGGTCATTCTTTATGCATAACATCTATTTTTATAGTTTTACATTCAATAAACCTTTTTTCCCCGTGGTCTTAGTGAACTGCATTCATAACGATCACTGAAAATATTAGTGTTACAATAATATRTCTTTGAAAATCAACTCCTTCTGCTGTGCCATGTTATTTCTTATGTAGTGCACATACAAAGGAATGGCTTTGATTTGTTTRACATGAGAGATTTTAATAAGTGTTAATGGTCTTTATAACTTGATTTTAGTAACAAAAGCACATATAKCTTGCAATATCTACTTCATAAATACCAGTATATAATGTGACAATCTTGTGCTAAAATCCAAAATGTGCTGTAGTTTCAAAAAGAAAAACTCTTAACATCAATAACACACAGGGGAATGAACCTGATCAGATAAAATGCTTATAATATTATATTAATGGCCCAGATGATCTCAGAGTCATATGTTTTGCTATAATTAAAAAAAAAACATAAAGACGATTTAGTGTTTGTTTACAGTTGTTGGGAAATCAAAAGGTGTGTTGTGTTTCTGTACTGAAAACTGAAGAAGCAAACATTTTAAACAGGAGAAAAATTAAAGTTTATACAGACAGAGCTGTGTGATTATAATGAAAACAGCTTTTCCACATAATTACTCAGTCTTTCATTGGTTATATAGATGGGTGCAATGGTTACCAAACACCATAAAAAATACAATAAATACCACAGAAATCAACATCGGTCTCACTGCCACCAAACTACCTGCAAAATCCTCCTTTGTCTTTCAGCGTGTGCAGGATATATTCAAACAATCTACAGGAGTCAGGAGGCAAACAATGTCATCAAATCGATTAGTGATGGAACGAAAGCCAAAACAAAAGAGACAACAGAMTCTCTTTCTAGTAGACGAACACGCAGAATGAATATATTACAACGTTGTGTGTGTGCTCCGATTGTCGTCGAGACAAACACTTCAGAAGTTCAGAGTCTCTGACATCATTTTCCACCAGTCCATCAGCTCCTCCCGCTCCTCCTCCTTCCTCTCCATCAGGGACTCCAGCTCAAAGTCCACCTGGAAGAAAAAACACCAGAGGTAAGCCACAGAGCTGTCAAAACGTCCCCTATTATCACGCACTGCAATGAAAGGTGGATAATAATGTAATTTCTGTGCATCTGCTCGTCTGTTAGCAAAATATTTCTTGAAACATTGGAAGGATTTCAATAAAACTCTCAGAAAATATTTATTGAAACGATTTGCTTTTGGAAGCATTTGGTTTCAAGATGGCTGCCCCAGCTGATTAAACTTAGGAAACACAAAAAATAGGCTATAGCACAGTTAGTTTTACARAAACTGAGTTGACATGGTAGTAGGTGAGASTCATCCCCAAACTATATTTTGAGCACTAGCAGATCATGTCGGATCTTTAAGACTTTTGCAGCATGGTGATTATTTCAAGAAAATATAGTTTTACATAATAAATGTTTAAACATACTGTACATGCAAAGTTGTATGGACTCTACAAGCGAAGCCTTGCAAAATGAACCTTTGAGCAATAATATAACTGTTAAAAAGTACTTTGTTTTCAATTCTAGATGTTTTTTGTGGTTAGTTACAAAGATGTTCACAAATGCCCCTTTTCTACTAGTTCCACTTAGTGTAGTGTCGGAACAGTCGGTGTAGGTACGGGTCGGACCGGTTGGTTTTCCCACTGATGTTCCAGTCCGGTTCCAGTGGGTGTGTTTTGGGCGGTTGGTGGAGGTGGTTTTTAGGTATTTTGAATAAAAATTAATGGGCAAAATGAGAGACGGAAACACATTTGATGAATAACTTTTGAAATTTTAAACATTTGTAAAAATTTAGCCAATCAGTGACGAACAGTGTTCTGACGTCACATTTTGGTGTCAGCTGGGGCCGGCTGGAACCACAATGAAGTAGGTACTAAAAAAAAGTGCCGGTTCCATGGATCTGGCCTAATGGGAATGGCTTGGAACCGTACCGAACCGTACCGACACTACACTAAGTGGCACTAGTGGAAAAGGGGCATAACAGATTGAAGCGGTAATATAGAAATTTAATTAAAACTTTACAAAGAGAGGAGGCTTGAGAGAAAACTATAAATGATGACGCACCAAACTGTCCCTAGCGACAGCATTACTGCATTTACCCTGTCTTGCATGATTATTCGTAAATTTTTCTTTCATAGATTGAAGAATAAATAACAGTGCACGTCATCGCATACACATTTTCCACTTATCTGGCAAAAATTTGTGAATCTGCATCCAAATAACTGTGCCATGATGCCGCTTGGTTTTAATCAATGTTTGTTCAGACTGAAATCTCTGCAGCAGTGATGCCCCGTTTAAAAACAAGTGTGATGTCGACTCTTTCCTCACCTCCTGTGATTATATGTCCCGTGGGACTTATAGAAGCAAAATAAGGAGTCGAGGAGACAAATGCWGCATATTCGACTYGGGAAGTRCCAAAAGAAGCACAAGTGAGATTTAGTTTGCTTGCTTGTTGTGTGTTCTCCCTTGTTTGTGTGTCTTACCCTCGTTGCAGGGCTGTAAGGAACGGCCACCTTCTTGATGACAGTCAGGTATCCTGGAGCAGAAGCTGCCACTTTGTAGTTCCCTGGAGCCAGGAGGCGCCAATAGTCTCCATCTTTGGCTATAAAATACAAAGTTTTTCTATTAAAAACGCATGTAAGCAACACACAAAGTGATGACTCTTTGCTCAACTATGTCCCATTCAAATAGACATGTTGAACAGAACCACTAAAGAGACGTAGTACCGATTATATCCACAAGGTGGCAACATTGCATCATTTTTCAGTTATTTTTTTAACAGGAGGTTTCACTCCCATATAAAACTGTGTGCATTTAAACAGAAAGTAAATACCTGTGGTGATGTCATGTTCAATACCCTCCACAGARATGGTGGCGTTGGAAATGGTGTTGCCCTGAAGGTCACGGACGAAGCCTTTAACGCCACGGTGAACCTGCACCAAACCCGCAAAACACACAAAAAAAGCAAGACCCTGAGGCTCAGAGGACGTTATACAGTTCTGAGTAGTCTAAATGATAAATGTATGTAAATAGTATCAACAGTAACTGTGTCTTTCTGAAAGAGCTGAAAGACTCTTTCAGCTTTAAGACCACAGACAATCACTTCTGAAGGTTTTTTTTTTTTTTATTTAAAACAACCTTTATTTTCTTAAWAGATTATTGTGTTAATGATTGTAGAGCGCTAACCTGCTCGATGTAGCTGACGAGGGAGTTGCGGTTCTGGTCCCAGTAGGTTTTGAGTGTGTCCTCGTTGGGAAACTTGTCACAGCTGAGCTCCAGAGTGATCTCAAAACAGTTGCTGCTGAGATAGTTGAAATCCTGCATGCCTGCATGAAGGTGAGAAAAACAATGTTGAGGAGTCAAAAAGTCAAAATGATGAAGAGGGAGAATTAGGAATGACAGGTCAGTAAACTTGATATTTTCTTAATGAAAACAATGTTTTCAGCAAACTAAAYTTAACAGATGAGTGGATCAGTATAACAAACCAAAACTTTCTTTACAGAGTTTTTATTTTTATTATTTGTATTTTATTTTCGTTACCTTATCTACAACCATCCAGTCATTCTAAGGTAAATTGAATATATTACATGGATATTAACAATAAATTACATACAATTTTACATCTAATTAGAAAAATATCACAAAAATAAAACAATTATTCTTCTTTTGGCTGTTAAAAATAATTCTAAAAATATAAATGTTGTTTTTTTTTAATTAAGACCTATCATTCTTTAAAGTAACAAATATTTTCTGCCACCTTTTATTCCAGAATTTTAAATTATGATAATCTCATCTTGAG